GGGGGTGGGGGAACACGACACGAAACAAAACAGGCTTGCACATGGTGAGGGATAAAATTTGAGAAGACAGAAACGAGTTGAGTTTAGCAAAGTCAAAGAAAGATGCGAACTAATGGCCAGCAGCAAAACTAGACACAGAGGACTTCAAATCAGGAAGATAGTAGAACAGACAACAGGACAGATGAAGCAGCAGCAGTGGACGACAGGAATCGTAGGACTTCAGAAGTGACCTTGAAAGGGAAACATTTTTTTAAAAACATCAACTGAAGAACAAGGTTCAGGGAAGGGAATAAAGTTTGGAAAAGAACCTTAAAAATCTGTATTTGAGTCATGTTCAGAAACGTCAGTAACACCCCACTGGGTGTACCCAGTGCCTGTATTTCTCTCCTTGGGTAATCTTGGCAGAAAGGTTTAGTTATTCACCTAGACCACACCAGAGATCAGAAATTAAGACGACGAGCAGTGCCACTGGCTAGATGATGTGGGGATACGGCAGGGTTGAAAAAAATTTTCGACTGTTAAAGAAGTATTAAAAGTGATGGAAAAGCAGTGATTTGAACTCTGCTATCCAACACCTTTACTTCCAGATTAAATTAACTCTCCACAAAGCAAGACTTGAAGGCTTTCACTGACTCTCCTTCACGTCAACCTCCTGTTCCTAGAAGCTCAAATACCTGACACAGCATTCACCACCAGCATTCAAACTTAACCATTAAGATTCTCATCTCACTGTATAACAGCGAAGACTGATATTAAGTGGACAGATTGCTGAAAACAAACATCACTGCGATTTTGGGTCCCATTCAGAGATATCTGAGAACCACTGGCATAAGAAGTCCTCCTCCATTTCCAAGCCTCTGTCAACAATTTCACTCTATGGCTTTCTTAATCATGAGCATGAATAAAACACCAGCCTTCTCAGACACTTCTAATACTGTATTTCATCTTCCAGTATATTGGCATGTTTTTAAAGTTTCTGCTCATTCCAAAAAGATGACATACTTCTATTGCTTGCTCATACAATTGGTAAACTGGATCATTAGAGTGCAACAGAAGAGGGTTGCATAAAAACACATTATTCCCTGCTACCAAACCAATGACATTCAGAAATGGTAAGAAGTGAGCTGAGCATGTCATTTTTATATACCCTACTGATTACTATTTATTCACATGTGTATAGGAGGTTCACTCAAAATTACTGAAGTTACATAAAACCCAGCCTAGCTATAAACAAGAGCTCACAGGACTGGGGCCATAACGGGAACTCTTCATTATTTTTATGTTTTTCAGATATTTTCATATCAGTTTGAAAATAATTTTAGATTTGCTTTTAAATTTTAGATAAAAACACTCTTTTGGATTAATTATGACTATCTCTGATGTAGTATAAATGCTTGGCAAATAATACAAAAAAGATTTTTTTTAATGTACTGTCTTTTGTTACAGTCAAGAAAACTCACCTATAATCAACTACTGGAAGCGGTAAACTGTCCACAAGATAGGTACCATCTACTGTAATATATATATATATGTATCTGTAACAAGAAAAGTTTGAAAAAATATCATACAAACACTATCATTTTTACATTATATTTAATATATGTATGTTTTATTTCTATTAGACTACTGCACAGCAGGGGAGCTTTCAAGACAAGACAAAGATTTTATACGATGCAATTCAAAGCACAAAGTTCACTCATAAAGCAAGTTAATACTGTAGCATTACTGAAATAAAAGGAGGAGCTAGTCAGACATTTTGGTTAGAAATATAACATGTTTTCTTTAAAGAAAATAAACATGTAATGCCACAGCTTAAAATAAATAGTGCCAAATGTCACCATCAACAACACATGAAAAATAGAATGGTGTTTTATAAAAGAAAATATTTTGGAAGTGTGTAGTCCACATGGGAGTGTTATAACAGACTTATTTTCATATGTTACTAGGTGCTTTACTTAGGGGATAGATTCTACAATCCCCAGTTATACAAGCAGTTCTACTAACCCGTATGGGATTCTTAATTATAAAGTTTGGTACCAGAGTCATCTGTACCATTCATTTTACACATTTTAAAATAGGAACAACTAATTTTTTTCCTCAGCACAAGATTTAATGATAAATACTAAAAAAAACAATAAAAATTTTAAATGCTTAAGTATGTGCATTTGCCAACTCTAACCCCTGATTTCTTCACACAATGTACCCTTCGGGGGGGGTGTGGAGAACCCAACAATCTATTATTGGTTTCTTTCAGGAAGAGTTCAATACTTCATACATAATATTAGATGCAAATAGCCTGACTGTGTTAGGGTTTAAGTGATTTTTAAATGTTCTAGTACATTTCAGAAAAAAATTGGTTTGAGTGCTTGTGCATATTAAGAGCTAACCCTAGCAGCAAGTATTGTGCTGCCTTTTCCAATACAAACTATTTCATTCTATGACATATGAACTATTGTTATAGAACATAACCATCACTTTTAAAATTCAATGATCAGACAATAAATGAAAACAAATCTAGAGGTTGTTAGACACTAACCAAGGTTTCTCAAATACTTCCTCCTCCCTACAACTTGTTCCACTGAAGTCCTACAGGATTAAGTATACACAGAAGCTAGACTGAAAACTAAGGATTCATCCTACAAAATCTGGAAACAAAAATAAAAAAAATGTATTAAGATAAGCTGATGATCTCACACATATTATTTAAAAACTACTGTATTTTGCCAAACAATTTCCATAGTAATTGTAGTTTTAAAAAAATGCAAAACCGGAAAAAACCCTGATCTAGCTTGAACGTTTCATCCACAAACCCCCCCAGCTGAATTTTTATTCTTTGAGCATTATAGCAAATCAAAAGTTAAAGCTGCAAAGGAAAACAAACAAACAAAAAAATCTGAGTGTGCAGGGAACTGACTGCATCTAGAACCTACATGTGTATGTACATAGCAGTGCTTTTATTTGAACTAACTTTTTTTTACCCACATAAAGAAAAATATTTAACTGACCATTAACAGCTTCTTTGCAATATCACTGATAATAATTATGTTTTGACAGTTCTGTATAAAAAGTTCAGTCTGGAAACTCAAGACATTTCAGTCCATTCTCCATTTTTACCACATTTAAAAAACAAGACAACTTCCTTCCTTAACAACGAAAATATTATTTAAGCATACCCAAAAAGGTACTAGGGTCTAACAAAAATACTCTGAATTTCCTTTTCAACTAATAAAGTATTTATAAGACATTTTGCATAGATATTTATTTCCCAAATGAAGGAGTGGCAACTTTCTCTTAAACGTAAAAGCTAAAATTTACTTTTGATAAATATAAAAGTAATTCTCAGGATACAGTATACAAAACCAGATATTCATGAGGAATACATTTTGTGTTATACTACACTATTGTATCTTTTCCAAAAGGTTTTCTGTATTTTAAAAAAAAAAAAAAAAAAATTTAAATATACTGTAAGGCATTCAAATTATTTTAAACACAAAAAAAATCTACAGACAGTGACATATACATAAACAGTTGGGAAGTTGTAACTTAAAGATTGCAGCTTTTAATCAGACCTTCTCATAAACGCTAGCCTCAAAAGAATCCTATTCACTACAAGAAGCATCTGCATGGTTTTAAGACTTAACTATGCAGACTCCTATTGCCCCAGGGCAGTGCTGCACAAGTCTATTGAAAACGATCAGATTGCAGAATCAACACCTTAAATTTTCCCAGAAAACCTCCAACAAATGTTTTATGTGCATTATGACAGAATAACAGAAGAAAAAGGGATGTAACAAAAATTTCAGTGTGACAATTTTCCTGAAACTTTTCCCATCACATTTGGCAAGCAGAGAACTAATCCTATCTATTGCCTGTCTACTCTTACGCCAAGAACTGCAAACCACAATTCAATATAAAATACAATAACCTTCTCTAATAATTATGTCCTTCTTAGAACAAAGATTAAAATAAACTGTGCTGATTCATACTTTCCATAAATTACTAAAAAGGTGAGAGACTCAGACATTTTGCTTCTGAATAATAAGCCTAATATCTGTATCATGTGCAAAAGTGCAACTGTGTTTTAGAACTGAAGCCCAACTGAATACAATTTTGTTATTAAAGAAAATATACTTGAACCCACTTAACACGGAAAACAGTGGTTCTTGGTATCTTATATACTTTACATATTTCAATCTGTTGTAAAACTGCAAGTTAGTAAAAAATACAAAAAATAGAAATGAACAGAAAACAACAAAGCTTGTATATAAATTGGTTTACAATTCAAAGCACAACAGTAAGCTTCAAATAATTACATTTCAGTAACACACAGAGGTGGGATGATTTGCTCAAAATACTTGGTTATTTCTGCTTTTGTCTTCACGATCTGATGTCTGTTTAGCTGCTCGCAGTGTGTGCATGCATACGTTTCGCTACATCATAGACATAGGTTATGTCTGGTCGCTTCTCTGGATCCGGGTTGATGCACATATTAACTAATTGTCGCAGCTAGGAAAGGAAAATAACATGTAAGAAAGCAAATGATCCTGTCAATTAGTATTTATGCGTTATCAAATTCAAATTAATAAGAGTGGCAAAAATTAGCCAAACATAGCAATTCTGCATAAACACATACACTCAACCCTTCCTCTCTCGACACACACTGCACAGTTCTATGCAAGCACATATGCAACATACTCCCATGATTTTTACATTTTGTACTGTTGTCCAGAAAAACTGATGAGAAGACTTAAGTTTTAATCCTTTTAACACGCAACTTTAGACATGCATTTAGTCTCACAACAAGTCATTTGAATGAAAATTTCTGTGCTTTTGGAGGGCTATGCCAGCAAACTGCAGAAGGCTGAAGCTCACACCAAGAAGGAAAATTGGGACTGCTCGCTCATTCTCTCCCGATATGAGAGTTAGCCAGCAATAAATGGCATTGCTGTGTGACAGGTTCCAACAAACAAAAGGAAGCAACTCTCCTTACAATGCACGCTTAACCTGCAGAACCTCCTCCTGCTAGAGGCTACACGCGCATTCAGAAAGCGTCAGAACAAACTAAACCCACTGAGGGCTCTTTAATATAAAGGCGCCACATTTGACTGAGGAAATCTCTGAACTTAAAAGTGGAAGCTGGGAAAGCATTTTGGGGAAGTATCACATCATACTGGCCCTGTTACTCCACTTGCCCAATGTTGGAGACCTGATACTGGAATAAATAACCTTTGGTCTATGTCCCAGTATCTAGTCTTAGGATTAGATCACTCATTTTTTCTTTACGGAAAGAAGCACATAATTAACAAATATGTTCACAGAAGTCTCTATCTGGGAATAAACAAAGCACTATGACTAGAAAACACGGTATTTCCACAAACGCCATAATTTACTGGGCCTTCTATAGCGCACATATTCAGCAGAAGCAACCCTGAAGAGCCTTCACACCACTTGGATACTTCTCATTGCCTCCGCAAACTGGCAGAACAGTTGCAGGTTTTTCTTCCTCCCTTGATATGCCTAAGCACTTACAACATTAGAACTTAACTTGTCTGGATAGCCTTCTGATGGAACATCTATTTTAAATTGTGCGCACCTCCCAAGCATTTTGCAACACGGAATACACCTGCTTCATGATGACTTATTAGAATGTTTACCATCTTTTGCAAAAGCAACTTAATCAACTCTGAAGCTCTTCCTCTATGCTTTTTAGCAGCTTTGCTAAATTTCCCTATAGCACTGGGAGGGGGACAGGGGATGAACGAACAACAACAAACAAAAAAACACCTTGCGATCCACCCTTCTATGGCAATATGTCAAATTTGGTTCAGTCTCCCTCCCAGTACTATTAGGTGTGATTACTGAAAAAATCTGTAATTATTGCAACTAACGTAGAGAGACGACTTCACCACAATTATTCAAAAGTACCACAGATTGCATATTCAAATCTGCCATCAGAGAGTTTCCTTCCTGCTTTTTATAAAAAAGACCAAGAAGGATTTTAAATTATAATTACACTCCTTTCACTTTTCAGTTAATTTAAATGCATAGGAATAAGAAGTCCAGTAGTTAAGTAAAAAACATTGCATACCACTATTTAGAACTCTGCCCATTAGCCTTTGCAGAAACATTGTAAATTGTATACAATGTAGAGGTTTTTCATATTTAACAATATATAAACCTATCTCACTAGACATCCCTCTTCTTTAGCAAGAAGAGTTTAATATTTAAAAATGAGATCATTAATTCTGAAGATAGTGGTCAGATTTCTGGATTGAAAAGAAACATAAATAATCTGGAACAGACTTGCTATTTGAATCTTAAATATGCTAAGTACATTTTGACTAATGGACTTACAAAAGGCATCGTATTGCTTCTGGCAGCCAATAAATAAAATACAATACCACTGACAGGAAAAACTATTAGCTTGTAATAACTCCCGATCATTTGGAGACAAAAGTGCTGGGAATCACGAACAACTGTAAGAAATAATAATTGCCAACATGTAATAGAAATATGCAAAGCAAAACAATCTCCTGTAGAAGAAGCAGGTGGGACACAGTGTAAGCAACAGGCACAAAGTATTAGCAGCTTGCTATGCAACACCTCGGACAGACTGCATGGAAACCAGGCAAGACTGAAGAAGATCCAAAAACCCCAAGCCTGAAGTTAGACTCAAGTAAGTAAATATTGTGTAAAGAGAATACAAGTGTAATTTATCTGCCAAATATGACATCGAGTCTTGTACATATACATTTCTCTTT